TCAAATCTTCGCCATCCTCTTTCTAGCGAATGAGTCCAATATCGATTACTGTGCTGCGCATGGTGTGTTATCGTGCAGAAGTTAAGTGCAAGTAGTGCGTTTACTGTTATTGTCCAAAGGTCGTAGTATTGTATGCTCTTGCTCGAGTTCGCTTGTGTTCTCAGAGCTCATCAACTGATACCGCGACACCTTTTCGGTATCATCATTGCACATGTTCTTCTGATTCTCCTTGGAAGAATGCACCTTATCGCCAGAAACAACACGCTAAGCACCCTAAATCTGATCAATAGTTACTACACGATGGAGTAGCGTCCCTTAGCTCGTACACATGGAGTCTCCACCACCGGAACTTAACGGAACGAACGTGTTTTGTCGCCATTATTCCGAAAAGCACGATCCCTTATGAAGGCGGTAGTCAAGAAAATTGTTGGAAGTTGCAGTCTGGAACCAACTGGGACGGCAGGGCCCCAACCCATGATTCGCTAAAGTGTGGGATATACTATCACGTGCCTCTTGGTTACCACGATGCATGCACACTATATGGCGGCTCCGGTCGATCTGAGCAGTTCTCCCCGTACTCGATGAAGTTCGGCCACGTTAGTGCGTTTCAACGTGATTGACAGTCTCTCGACACTGAATCAACTTATAATTAATTCGCCCATCCCACCAAGAAGCTCCACTAATCAACCCAAGATCCCTTAAATGAAAAGGGCGATTAAAATGATTATGAGCGACGATCGTCTTTAGCAAGTAGAACAATATAAGAGCCCAACTGTGCATAGTTTCTATCAATCCCCCATAGCAACTGATCAGCGTTTGTCTTCTCTCGAGCTATCGCCTTGCATTGATCGAGTTTAGTCCTACTGGCTGAATCACGCTCGTAGCCTGGCGGTAGTCGCACCTGATTAACTACGTGATGAAGCAGAAGGCAGCACGAACTGACCATGGCATCGTTGTAGCCTCCTGTGATCCAATCGGATAGCTGTATTGCATCACTAACGGATTTTTGAAGACCCATACCCGGAAAACGAGGATCTGTCAGGAGAACGCAAGTAATGAAGGCGACATTCAGGTGGAATTTTCTGGGAGCTCATCTCACCCATATGCAATGATGCCATCGTGCAGACGCACTTCACTGCGAACTTGGCGCTGAGGTTGATAAGACTGAGTAAAGCAGACATTCGTCGATCCATTGGTAAGGTTTGGTCGATGCAGTCAGCCGCAGCAGCTACGAACTGTGGGCTTGCTG